TATATATATATATATATATATATATATATATATATATATATATATATATATATATATATATATATATATCGTTAACAAGCCTTACGTATGTCCTTATATAGAGTCTCCTTTGACGTGACTCGGGATCATTTTGAAGGTATTTGTTTACGATGTCATTAAATTCCATCAATCTGAAATCCCTTCGTAAGTCATCTTTTGGCTTACACATGAAAAGATATTTTTTGCCATCCGATCCTCTTAATGTAATTCGTCGTGGCCGTTGAAGCGATGGCATTATTACCACGTTATCTTCTATTCTCGATATGTGCACCCATTTCAGTAGAAATGGATTATGATTATCTAGTGAAGCATTCTTGGATGGAAGATGCAGCTGCCTGAATTTCGTTGTTGGCATCATAATTGGACTGAAATCTTTGCTCGCAAGCAATCTCGGTAAATTCTTCGACAATTGAGTCACCGTGGTATTTACTATGTTGTCTGGTATTGTTTTATTAGATAACTCGATCAATTTTTCCCAAAGTCTGTGAAAATCTCTGATAAGCTTAGACATTTCCAGTGTTTTCAACTGTGGATGGTTTAATATATCTTGGCAACTTTTCTGTCGCGCTGAATATGAAGAATTAAAAACTGATGCCATCATCCATAAGCAATGCTGAGGATACGCTATAATCAAATTTACTAGAATTGCACGGAGAGTATTCTGCACTTCCGGAGATGGGTGACAAATTCTAGACACAAGTTGACTGAATGCTGTCAACCACATGAACGTTGGTAATCTCTGATGATAGACGTCCATGATCTTAGTCATCTTCGACAAACAATCTTGACGAGATCTAATAACATCTATTGGGTCAGTAGTGATTGTAGCACGAGAGGCAAGATCCAACCAAACGGTCAACATCTTCGGCATTGAGTAGTGAATATATTTGCAGCTATACTGAAGTGATTTACCATAACAATTCATCATATGCACTTGCAGGTCGCGTCTACTTTTATGTCTATCATCTTCTGGCATCCTCTCGACAACAGCTTCGTAATATTGAGCGCAAGATAACCAGCTTTTATCCCACCCTCTCCATACGTCTATTGCTTCTTTATAGTTAATGATACAACCATCTGTATCAACGTTGAGAGTTTCGTCGTTATATTTTGCAAACAGCAACTTTGCCTTTGCAAACTGTTTCCGCTCTGCGGTACATTCCCCGGAAGGTAATTGCTTGTAATATTGTGCTGGTTGAAAGCAATTTGAAAAACAACGATTCAAAGTAGTGAAAGCGTCTTCTTGACAACCTTTTTGCCAATACAATTGAGCTTGTTCTACATACAATAACTGCGGTGGGCACGAATCACTGGCCGATAAGATATGCATATATGCTTGTTGGTGCAAGCCAGCTTTCCTAGCAATTTTCGCACTCTTTAACCAAATTTTTCCGATTTCTTGCTTGAGTGTTAAATTCTCAGTATTACGAGTCTTTCGTTGCAATTGTACAGCTAAATCTAAAGTAGCTCTACGCATACTCAGAACAAACTCTACGCCACGGGATGTTCTCAATAATTGTCCGCGTTTTTCCCACTCTTCCAGTATCATTGGAAGACCCTCCACATTGCTCAACATCATTGACATTGCCTTATCAAATTCGTTCAATATATGTAATTTCATGATGTATGAATAACTCTGTTGATAGACTCCTGGTTGAGAAGCATCCTCTAATAGTGATACTAGATTCTTCTTTAACGACAGTAAGTCTGGCTTGGTACCTTTTACAAGGTCATCCAGTAATACATGTTTTATATTTTTCTGCGGAGTCTCCTCAAATCGGGAAAAGTGAGCGAGTCTCCAAAAAAGCTCACGTTCAGTTAGAAGAGGCTCCAATTCTGGCCTGTCATCAAATATTGGGAAAATGTAAGAGTTTCATGAAAAATTCAATTGTATATTTATTTTTACTAGTATTACCTGCTACTCAACATGCCCTCAGTAATGTGCTCGGCAGTGAATGGTTGATCCAGACCAAGATAACAATGAATCATACCTTGCAAATAGGTATGTTTTAAGTCTTTTTTCTGCGCGAGTCTTTCGTAGCACGTAGCCGCATCCTGTGTCATTAATCAATACAAAAGACTTTAAAATGCAATTACGAAGTAAAGTTAACAACTAAGTATAAATTACTCGAAGTTGCAAACGCTACCTGAAGCTGTCCGTTGACTTCATGAGCTAGAACCAATTGTTGCAAAGTGGGAGCTTCATTTTGAGTTGCTAGAATACCGGATATTCCATCCGGTTCATCAAGCTGTGCATAAATTTTCTACAACAAGAATATTTTATTAGAAAGATAAAATAATATGTACTGCATCTATCGTGTCAAATCGTAGAATGTTACATACAGCGAGCAAACCACCTTCCGTCGGTTCTGATAAACCTTTATTGCTAGAGGCCATATGTTGCTCTAAATATATCAATGCCCGATGATATTCCCGCGATTGGTAACAAACTTCTGCCACCATCAGACTATCTAACATACTGCAAAATTCTAAAAATATTGATATTAATATTAATAGCACAATATCAGTCATATCACACACACATATGTAATATCATTCTCTGCAAGAATTAAAATAATATACAATAAGGTAATTCGCACTTTTTATTGCCTCATATCTGCTATCTTGAAATAATCTTCGTTCTCTGAGCCATCTTTGCAAATGATCCAAAATATTAAAAACCACCTGTTCCAATCAATATAAGAACATTTAGCGATAGATTATCAAGTTGGTATAGGAAATTGCTCAACAATAACAAAAAAACTGTAATAACCCGCGAGCAACGTGTACGTTTAGTTTCCTCTGAGATTCTCTTGTCATCAGCTTTCACGCTCTGGCCGTATCGAAGTGGATAATGACGTAAAAGCTCAGGATCTAATACGGGTTTCTCTCTAACGTTAATCACGGCTAACATCTCCTCTTTAAGTTTAATACATTCCTCTTCACTATTATTTGCAACTATATAGGCTAACAAATAAAAATATATTGTAAATACACGTAATGAAATAATCAGTTTTAAACATTGAGCTTTAAGCACTTACACACGATATATGGTAGACAAAATGTCAACGTTTTTATGTCTCGTTTGAAAGCTAATTTGCACGCCTGCAGTACATTATTGAGAGTTGTATCCTGTACATTATTGGATATACTGCAAAGCCAATAATAAGCCCAGGTTTCGACTGAGGAACCTACTTCAGAACTATGAGAATATTTGCATCAATTATGGATCGTATTAAATCGATCGTGTTAATTATCAATCGGCAACACACGCAGTAAAGACAATTTAACAAATTTAAAAACGAATTTATTCTTACAAAAACTTACCCATAAATAGGATGAGGAAACTCATTATCGTCAGTAATAGCCTCTTCCTTTCTTTTATAATGTGATGTCAAGAAAGGACTAATAATCTGTTGCGTTGTGGAAGGCAAATTATTCCATAATTCACTATTTCGGCCTTGCGGAGAAATGTCGTATGCTCTTAATATTTCCTGGAAATGTTAATCATATTAGAATAATATTAGTTTTTTGCGATTTATCGCAAATGCGTATGTACAACATATATATGCTTTCATACCTGTATAGCGAGTGAAAAACAATCCATACTTTGACTATTTTTCTGCACTTGAAAAGCTCGTACATGTTCAGAGAGTAATGCACACGCAAACTCCTCGTTCATATCAGATATAAATTTACTATCCTCTGTAACACACAATTATGAAAATATTAAACGACGCAGAGTTTACGAGAAAGTATTATCACATTTATTATAATAAAAATTTATTATAATAAAAGTATAATTGCATTTATTATATCAAACTAAACACCTTTAGAAATAATTCTTCGCGGAAGAAGACTCGGTTCGATCGCTCCTAATTCTCCAAGACATTCTCCATAACATAAACGAATAGATTCATCTTTATCTTGACATCCAATCAATAGAGTATCTAATAACTTTAAAAAAAATAATAAATAGTGAAATGTATTACAGTAAATAAGGTATTCGTAGTATAATGTTGGTGCAAAAGACTTATTATTTTTCTTATTTAAATTCTCGTAGAAAATTTGGGTATGAAAAAGGAAATAAAAAGTCCTAGTTAGATATTTAAAAAAATACCTATATTAAATGTTGTTCATTTTATTCGTAAAAATTATTAATACTTCAAAATTGGATAATTTTTTTTTTATTTTATTTAATAAATACGACAAACTTGTTGCACCAATCTAATATTTGTCTATTAAACATACATACTTCAACAATTAGCGGATGGACGTCGGTTTCACTTAATATCATTTGATTAAGCTCACTGCGGTGTTCTTTCAGAAATGTTTGCAAATGTTTCAGAGCCCTAATTCGCACTTCGTCGGTCTCATGAGTGATCCGTTTTAACCATAATTTTAAATTGGCATCAAATCCCTCGGGTCTAAAATCGCAGAAAATGATTTCAATATTTTTGAGGGAGAAACGCAAGTTATAAATTTATGTTATCAATTACCTCGCTTGCAGTATATATGCTTTGACTATGTTAGATATGCGAGTAGGAACTTCCATGTCATCTATGAAGAATAACTCTGAGATGTGATTATTATCTCCTCCCGCATTTTGAATAATCAGAAATTCTAACATATTATTGACTCTTTCAGGAAATGTCTTCTGCAATGGCATTAATGATACGCATATTGTTGGGAATAATGGTCCTAAATCTTCCATGGCTATGCTGGAATCAATTTTCATGTGTGAAAATTACTATTTTAGAATATGTTTCTATTTCATTCTTTCATATTAGATGTCATATTAGCTACATGTTTCTTTAACGTACTTGTGAATAAACGCATCCCACGCATCGCAAACTAAGCCGGGAAAACCGGGTCTTTTAAATCCAAGCGAGGTTCGTAACGTGGCCAGAATTTTGTATCTAAGTGGAGTTAAGTAGGTAGCACCCATGTATCGAATTAAAACAGCTAGTGAAGCAAGTGCAGATTGTTGCGTATATTCGTCTGATTTGGGACCAAGTTTTATATCGAAATTCACCAATATACCATGCAAGCGTAGATTCAAATACGATGCCTGTGTATTACAAGATATTTGAAATTGTTCAGTATTATAAATAATCATATTGTTACGTCCCGAGGATCTCGGCACGTCTTGTTTCGCATTATTCTCATCCCCTCCCCTTTCCTTTTTCATTTTACTCTTTTCTCTTTTATTTCCTTTTCCTATAGTGCTCTCTTCCTTCCTCGCTCCCCTCCTCCCTATTCCGTCACCTTATCCCGTCGAATGTGATTACATTATCAACTATTAGTTATACGCGAAATAAGAAATAGATAATTTTAAGCATCCCACGTAAAGATTATTATCAGATTATTTCCAGAATCAAATTTAAGGTCTGTGTCTTATCACCATACGAATGTGGAGCCCAGCGACTTTCCAACTTCTTGATGTATTACGCCTTTTGTAACATTATTCGTTGAGCTTTGCGTCTTAGTGAGAACGGATGTGCAAAATCCGTTTTTCACCGGACACCGGAAATGCGCAAACACCAAGCCCGACTAAAATTCATCGGCGTTTTACCGAAAACCGCTGACCAGCACCTTGCGAGAAACGTAAAGAAAAGCTGGTGAGCGCGGATTCCTAATCCGCAGCAGGCAGTCTTCGTGCGGAACCTATCAGAGACGGTCGCAATTACTCATTCAAAAATTTCTAAGTTATCATCCGGAATCCGCGAGAGATGGTCACTCTTCAAAAATCTTTCCAAGTTTTCCTCTCCCGGATATCATTAAATACGGCCGGTCATACCTCGTTTCACTGCATAAAATTTTGTTTCTCGTTCCAAGTCGTCGAAATAATTTCTAACTTAATTACTAACGGCCCTACTCATACTCGGTCGCGAGTGAAATCCTGAAAATAGCGATTGCCAATGCCGTGCGTGTAAATATCCAAAGGATATCCAGTGCAACTTCTTCAATGCCAACGAAGGTCGAACTACTACCAATCTTACGGCCAGCCACGCCAGTTAAGGGGTTGCTCAGAGCTCTCTCCCGGTTCTCTAAAGGTGCTGGATAAAACAACTTACTGTAATTCGTCAGTCTCCCTCAATGTAAGTCGTTGCCTCATTTTATCGCAAAACAAAACGAGCGATCTAACGCGCGTCACCAGCCGATAATACACGTGAACAAGACAAGTTGTCATCTTGTAGACAACCAGGTTGTGTACCTCGAGTCCCAATAAATTCTATCTTCAGTTATTTCTAACTATTCGAGTTATTAGTTTGTTCATTTTCCCTCTTTTCCTCACCTATCCCGTTGACCCCGTGCGAAAACACCCCGTAAGGGCTAGCTCTTATGGAAACGTAGCTCGATGAAAACAATTCAGCACGACGGAGCCGCTCTCGTCGTACGTATGGCGGAACCTCGCGGGGACGTGACAATATATAACCAATATTGTTATTAAAATACTTACAATTTGCTCTTGTGTAGCAAAATTCCCTTTGTGGTTACTGTCATATTCTGAAATAATTTCTAAAAAGCCTTCTATCTTCTTAGGAGACTGATAAAAATTTAACATAAGTTCCTCAAAAATTTCCTGTAAGCAATAAGATGCATATGTATTTTTTTTATCATATAATAAAAATTAAAATTAACAGCATTTTAAATTTCTTACCATAAATGATTGCTTTGTAAGAAATCCGAGACTACATTTAGTGATTTTTGTAACCAATTTCAAACATTCCGTAGATATTCGTAAAGGTGTCTCCAAGAATGAATAACTACAAATGTACTAGAAAGAGAGATATACGTAAACTAAGTTATTTTATATTAAAATAATTAAATTAAGATAAATTAAGTAAAATTCGTATACCGGAAAATATTCTTCAAGCATCTTCTTTATGTCCATATTTATTAATTCGGCTATATCATGTAAAAGTGGTTCTGTTTCTGGTATTTCAACAATAGCGGCAATTAGAAAGCAGATCGCGTAATGGCCATCTTTACGAAGCAAATGACGCGATCCTTCGTATCCTATGCATTTAGCAACACGATGTACTGTAGTCGCCATATTATACGAAAATTCAAAGTGATTACAAACTGCACGGTCCATTATGAGCTGCAACAAAATAAATTAATAATACATTATAATATAAACGCATTATAATATAAACCACAAAAACAATATATATTCAATACCTTTAAAATATCTTTTCGATATCGAATGTACAAGGCCTTTGGAGAAACATTTAGGAAGTCAGCAACGTCTTTATACGCGACTGTGGCACATGCTACGGCTGCAGGCGATGAGTTTGGATGTAGTATTGTAAAAAGAAATATGTTTATAATTCTTCTCTCCGTCAAGTGTAATGGAACACTGAAATCATATCATTATATATTAATATAAATAACAATTTAATATTGTTATTCCAATTTTATCATGAACTAGAACAATACATGCGCGTGCTACGCTAACTAGAATTTACGCTAATTATTCATTCTTGGAGACATCTTTACGAATGTTCTACAGAACATCTTCAGACATCTACAGAATGTTTGAAATTGGTTATAAAAATCACTAAATGTAGTCTCGGATTTCTAATAGCTAATAAAAAACAATAAAAAATGTAAAATAAAAATAAAATAAAAATTAAGTTAAATTAAAATATACTTTAATTAATTAATAATTATAGGGAGAGACAGGGAGAGACAGGAAAAGCAGGGAAAGACAGGTGCAAACGATACGAAGCAAGTCGTAACCCACATGCAGTGAGCTAAGCGCGAAACCCAATCAGCATCGCGGAAAAGCAGCAACAATTAAATCTCTTATATGCCTTTTTTTTTAGAGAAGATTAACATCCCTTATCTTACCATACAAAATTTTTTGCAGTAATGAGTAGTGTATCATGTAAGGAATGATTCGAGGTATCCACTGCAGTGATGAGATTGTCAGCTATAACATCAATTACTAAGTCAACGAATTCATCCAAATCATCTGGCACCATATCTGGCAAATGTTCGTTTTCCAACATAGAAATTTTATTATTCAATAATTGTCCGATCACTGATGCGATATTTGAGCGAATCTCTATATTATCGTCATATATGTAAGGGAGCCATTTCTTTGCTACTTCATTTGAGTTGAATAACTTTATGTGGTTTGAGAGAGACAGAATACTTTTAGAAATATTCAAACGTATCGAGACGTTTGATGAAGACAGTAGTGTAAAGTACGTATTAAAAATATTGTCATTGGTTCTTGGAAGACAATTCACATTGGACTCAACATTTTCTTTCACATTCTCTGTACAGCATTTGCAATATATTGTCCATTTTCCATCATTTGAGGATTTGCTGAAATGGAATATCATTAATAAAGAAATACGATACTTTTCATTATTTTATAATGCTAAAATATTATTGAGCCTTTCAGAAATAAATAAATAATTTTACAATAATACTGAAATATACCTGATAATTTTGCCCTTTCCTGATGAGACACAAGCTACCTGTCCTAAAACACTTGCAAGAGCTTCATGTACTTCTACTTTTGTCGAAGATAAGGCAGTGTTCAAAACATATTGGCAAACATCTTCCAATATTATGGTCTTATCATTCAACAGTAATACACTGTTTCTATGGATTCCATTTAATTTGGATTAATAAAGGTAATTAATAAAGGTAATTATTTTTATAAACGTGTATATATGTATATCAAAATGTAATGTCAAAAAATACTTACGATACTGCTACAACAGCTACTTGCGTTTCATTATTTAATATACACGCGCGTAATAATTTTAATCGTTCTTTTCCACTGCCATACGCGCATAAGGTTTCAAGACACTTTGACATAGTGTCAACATTGAGAGACTTCGCTTTCTGCACCATTTTTTGACTGATATCCATAGATCCTTTGAAATCTTGAGTAAATGGCAAGGCTAATATTGATTGCAATAAAACTTTATTCGATTCACTATGAGCCATTAAATTCATTAAAATTTGAAAAATAACTTCCACATCTTGGCATTTATCAGAATTCAAATTTTGCATGAGTGTTTTTAGTATAACGTTTAAGTCATTCTCGTATAATTTTACTTGAATCTTCCGTTCTTCCAACCATAATTGTAATAGAGACGAAGATTTCACAATGTGTAGTACTTCTGTAAATTTTTCCATCTGCATATGAGTCATTAATTCCTTTCTTAGTAATTTCCACGGTTCGCTAATTTCCGTGGCAAAAATTGTCTTCTCTGGTATAACAGTTCGTCTAATATCAATAAAAACAAATTGCATAAAAACGTCAATAATAGTCTGAAATAAAAGGAAAAGTTATTTTATCTTTATAAAGATGATATAAAAAACAAATAAAAACAATAATAAAGTTAAAAAGTAAAATAAAATAATAAAAATAATATAGATATGATTTTAATTATTACAAACCGGACAATGTGTGAAGTAAGCCAAAAATTTTTTAGCTTCTAAGACAGTACAAGATCTCGGCTCTGTAATTAAATATTGTTTAAGTTTATGACATGTTACTTCCATTAATTTCTTTCGTACTTCAGCTGTTACATGATGTGCTGAAACAAAATAAAGATAATTTATATCTTAAAAGATGAGAATATATTAGTTGGAGATGAGAAAAATATATCTATACAATTATTAATAATCTCAAAGTACTTACATAATTCAGAAGCTACAAGTTCAATAATTTGAAAACACAATTCTGCAACATTAAATAAGACTGGTGCTTCTCGTATTAAACGTGTTATCGTTTCTATAAATTGAGAAAATGCATGTATTTGTAATTGACCTAAGTTAATCCAAGTTGAAATACTTTTTATTATTTCTAGACTGTATGAAATTAAGGCTGTAAATTCCTGCAAAAAATATACACATATATAATATTTTAAGAATAAAAAATGTTATCTTTAAATTTGTATCACTTACTCGATCGGGAATGACGCAATCTTCTATTATTTCTGTGCACAGTTGAAATGCTTCAATCTTTAAATTTGGAGGAAATTTAGTAACTATTGTTATAGCTTTGTCCCACAATTTTATCCGATCCCAAATTAACACTCCAGACTTCATAATTATCTGTTAATATATTTTAATCTGTTAATATATGTTTTAATTAAAGCAATGTCAGATATTTTTTTAGAAAAAGCAATACCTTTAATATAGATGATTGAACTGATAGCATCTGTGATGAGTTAATTGTTACAGAAAATGGTGTCAGATCTAAATTCTGTATGATATCTTTCTCTGTATGAAACTTTGAGAGAGTCATTTCTTCTGTATCTGTACTATTTATATAAAACTCTGATATTTCTATAAAAAAAATAATTTCATATTATATTTGTAGTAATACATTTATATTTAATTATCATATATATATATACATATGTGTGTGTGTGTGTAAGTACTATTATTACATACCACTAAGTGTATTTAAATATTCTGAATTTATAGCCTCAAACATTGTGGAATGATGTCTGGACAGTATCCTGAGCATACAAGATTGAACTTCAATACTATTTGAGAGTATTACATTGCTTGATGGAACACACACCAAATAAAACATTGTACCAAACAACCAAGTTGTAAATGCTAGAAATATATGTTGATATATTATAAAGCATATAATTTTTATTATAGTATATTACTGTAATATAAATGAAATACCTGTATATTGTTGTTGCAGAGTTTCATCTGGTACACCATTATTGAATGGAGGAACTAATACACTACTTAAAGTAGAGGATCTTCTTAATAAAGATTCTAAGAGAGAACACAGCATCTGTTCTGTAGCAGGATTTTCCAGATGAGAAAAAATATGAATTATTGGCATATTGATGAATTTCCATACTGAATCTGCAACTGTTATCCTGTAAGGAGAAAATTAGTTGTCAAGTTATAATTGTGTTATATATTGGATCATTTTACTTTTTTCTAAAAATAATATATTTGTGTATAAAGAGCAATTCTTTCACTTTAACCTTCAAGACAACTATATTAATTTGATATACAATGCATCTTTTTAATATAAGTAAAATAATTTTAATTATGCAGTCGTTACTATAAGTTTTAAATGCATAACAAATGTTTTAATTGTTTTAATTATAACTGAACATGTGATTGCTATTGTTCACACAACAGAAACATATACTTACACGTTACTTGGAGAAATCGCTGAATCGCCATTTATTTCCATTATTACGTCTGAACAATCAATAAACAAAATGTAACATTCCTAATAAATAGTTTTTCAATCTGACGCTAAATCAGTGTGACCAGAAATCTCATCCAGTAGTACCGGTAATATTGAGAGGGGATGACAAATCAAACGTGCCTATGTACATGTGCGCGCCGACCATTGAATAAAGTATACCAGGAAGGAACATAGACCGATCATATTCATAGTCGAATCTTATTTCAAGCCGTCTTAAGCAATGTCTTAAGATACGAATACGGCTCTGTGATTGGTTCATGACATTTAAAGACAGTACTTAAGATGATGTTAAGTATAAAACTGGGAGCACAGACTTTTGCATAACGCATAACGCATAAGGGAATCAACCAAGAGACCTTTATTTCCCTCTCCAGGATAGAAATGAATGACTCTGATTGATTGATTTCCTTATGTGTTATGCATTATGCGTTATGCAAAAGTCTGTGCTCAGGCCCTAAGATCGGACTATGAATACCGGCCATAAAGAGAAAATCCCATATATGTAATATATATGTAATACTATTATGTTCGGAAACATCACTCTCTCGTGTTTTCGTGGGAAAGTAGTGAGGATACCGTGTGCCTTCATGTGTCGTGTTTCCGAACACTTTCCAGTGTGACTTTTAATGTAAACTAGGGGCTTAGAGCATATATATATATATATATATATATATGGAGGGGGAATTGCGTATGCCTCCTGTAGACCAAAAGTGTGTCGAAAATATGTGCGAAAGAGAAAGATATATATTCCTATTCATCCTCTGTGTGTATGCGCCAACATGCGTCAATTGTTGCTGGGCTATAAAATTATTTTTTTACTTGAATTCTATCAACTTTACCGAAAAATAACAAGAGATAAAAATTGTTTATTTTCTTCTCATAGAGTTCGGAGAATTTTTTTCAGAATTTCGTATTAACTTTTTAGTACTGCATTTTCTTGCGTTTTCTTGCATTTTCTTGAAGTACTAGAAAGTTAATACAAAATTCTGAAAAAATTCTTAGAACTCTGAAAAGAAAATAAATAACATCTCTCCTGTCAACTTTATAACCTAACCTGTTAACTTCAACGCATGCGCACAGAGGACGTAATAGGAACGCAATAGGAACGTATAGCTTTCTCGTACACATTTTGGACACTTCGTGCCAGTATTCCCTCTCTATGTATACATGCTCTAAGGGTGCGTTCAGATTCCCTACCCGGGTGCACTCTATTACTAGAAACACTATAGTATATGTTACATATACTATAGCACTTCTAGTATTAGAGTGCACCCGGGTAGGGAATCTGAACGTACCCTAAGATGTATATACGTCATTGAGAACGACCTTTAAAAGTCGTTCTACATAAGGGCTTTTGCACGTAGAAAAATTTTAACCTTAACCGTAAGGTCGTAAGAAAACTGACCAATCAGAGTTGATTATTCTCCTTGCGTTCGAGAAATAATCGACTATGATTGGTCAGTTTTCTTACGATTTACGGTTAAAATTTTTCTACATGCAAAAGCCGTAGCTATCCGATCGCAAGCAGACGTAATTCTTATTGCAACAGCCAATCAGAAGCATCAATGGTGTTATTGACGCTTCTGATTGGCTGTTGCAACACAGTTGCAATCGACTTGCTACTAATGTAGAACGATCTTAAAAGAACTGACCATATGTTTACATGACGCATACATTGGGTGTTTTTCATTTAATAACACAAGTCGACACAAGCATCGTTCTATCTTATTACTCATTGCATATGGAACAAAGACAGAATGTTGCTTATGTCGACTTATTAAATGGAAAGCATCCACTCTCTTTGGCTGCATTCGGAAACGTCACTCGAGTACTCTCCCTCTCTTTTTATCTCACTCTTGTATTTCGCTCACTCCAACGGCTATCGTCTAGTAGTGTGCACACAATGTGTGTTTCCGAATGCAGCATATATGTGGCCCATAGGAATTGACGCACACACTGCAACAGGCGATATCACACTCGAATTGAAATAATCGAGATATCGAAATAATTCGAAGATATCGAGTGCGATATCGATTACAATCTTTTAATTGCGAAATTATTCTAAGATTATTCTGATTCCCTTATAGAAATATCATACTAAAAATCATTGATAATTACTTATTATCCAGTATTTTTAATACTGAAAATAAGTAATTATCAATGATTCTTAGTATGATATTTCTATAAGGGTTGCATCAGTTGCAAAAGGAAACAAGTATATATTTAAACTTTTGGAAAAAGGAATAGATAGTCTTTTATTTATTTGATCTATTAATCTTTATATTTTACAATCTTTATAAAACTCTTTATATTTTACAATTTTATTCTTTTCTTTCTAATAGCATACAGTGCGAATGATAACCACATGAATAAAGAATACCAGAAAGGAGCATGTTGCGATATATCGTGGATAATCGATTGTGTTACATTGGCTCAGTTTGATAACGTAAACTACGTCATAAGTGACGATATTGATATTTTGTTCATATTGATGAGGGAAATAAAATTAGTCACTTGTAATAATTTTCTCTTCAATACGTTTACGCACCTTTGTCTATTCGATTAATTAACAATATTACGTCATAACATTTACTTCGATTCCATAGTATCGATAATCGCAATTGGTTCACTTTCATTACGTCACATCCTTCGCACTTCTAACAGAGGATTTTCTCTTTATATTTCTTGCTAGTATTCTTTATTCAATGGATAAACACTCGTTTGTAGTGTGGAGTGCAGTAAATGTACTAAAGTACATATGGAACGATAGATCCAACGTTCGGCGATTCGCGCGCGTGCGCACACGCGATCAGCTGTTCTCGCTAGTCACGACATTTCTTGTGTGGGCGCGTGTACTCATTCGAGCGAAATGTGGATTTTTCGCATAGAGATCTATATACGCGCCGATAACGATTCAGCGCGTCAACGTGGTATCGCATTTCGAATCTACTGAATTTTTCGGATGCGCTCTAATGTGAGTCGCGAAATAGTTTAATACCGGAAGCTTTCCGATAATACCACGTCAGTTTTTCGCGGTGACGACGGTGGCGGTGGAGTGGTGTGGTGGTGGTGGTGGTGGTAGTGTTGGCGCCGTTGACTACGGTGATGGATTGTTCGTGTTCGTGCGTATGTAAAAACAACAACGTATCTTCCGATGAGGAAGAGCTCCTAAATGCGGTACCCCGCGACACTGGTGTCCCGTAAAAGGAGAGTATGAAGTCCTGTGTGTTGTTCGTGTACTGGGCGCTGCTCCTAATATCGGTAGTGTCCAGGTGAGTTACGCATCATTAGCGCTATGTTATTGTCAATTCGAACTTGCATCAGCATGCGTACTCCGAAATTCGATGTCGTAGTAAGAAATCGCGTGAATCGTGACGAGCGATTTCGCTGTCAAAAAATAATTCTTGCATTAAACTCTTTTATATCACTCATTCAAAATTGTAAATCCTTCGTCGATCCTTTTGAATACTTGTCAATGTTTCGCAAGGATTTCCTTGAAATGTCATGGAGCAAATCATTATCAACAAGATAAAAGGAAATTAATATTAATTGATGGTACAATGACTTTATGTAAAGTGTATGTATTAGAAGTGTATGTATTAGAAGTCACATTCTTTTCTGGAATGACAGGCACTGTGACATAGCTAGGGTTAATCTTTAGTAATCATTATTTAGTAATTATTCAGCATAAGATGCTTTTGTTATTAATGTTACATATCTTTGCAATTAAATTTTGTGTGAATTAAATTTCTGTCATAATTTCATCCAAATTCAATTGATTAACAATTGAAGCATTTATACTTTCATGACAGATTATTTATAGTAGTAAAGAACATTATGTGAATGATTTTTGTATTAAATATTAACTGAAGAAGAATCAATTCTAAATACATTAGTGAATTTATAACTGAAGAAACGTTTGTGACTATTCCCATATTATATGAATAAACAGAATGTGTAATAGAACGTATAGTCTTATTTATTTTATTATATATTGTTTACTTCTCTTATTATTATTGTTGCAAGCAATGATTGACCTGTTTAACTATATAAATTTCAATATTTGAAGTGGTCCTCTGATATATTTTTATATTATGCAATATTGACATAACGTTACTTAACATAATTGTAACATCATTTTATTCTATTACAGTGGACTTCTGTTTCTGATAGTAGCTTCTGATACACAAGCTGAAGATGCACGAGCTGAAAATATACAAGATGAAGATCTTTCTTTTCAATCTGAGAAGAACGAGACTTATGGAGCTTACAGTAATATTACGCTCAATTACGATAACCTCGAAGAAAATTTTGAGTCCACTATATTAAATCTTGAGACACAAGATACAGTGGCACTCAAAGCTAGTCAAGAGGATTACCATCAAGTAAGATGCTTACAATTTTCTATATAATAAGAATTATTGATTATCGTTATATATACAATTATATATATATATATATATATATATATATATATATATATATATATACAAATATTATATATACAATTTAGCCATATATACTGTATTGTATTACAGAAAGAAACAACTACCATCTCTGCTAGTTTTGAAACAATCACTAATGATAACGCGAAAGTACAGGAGGTGGATATTTTGGCAGAGAGTCTTACACAGCAGCCTAATCTCTCTCAAGGGTGAGTTTGTGTTTATGTGAGTTTATGTGATTATCTGATATAACAACGTATAATGTAGCAATACGCGTATTATATATGCGTATTATTTGTTTTCAAAAATATTGATTTGCAATAGAATTACAGTCAATAGAATTGCTGTCACACAATAAATATCAATTCAATATCAATGGTTGCATTTAACAGACTCAACAATTGCACAACAGTTGAGCAACTCGTCAATGTAATTGGTTTAGATTTAGGGTTTTAACAATAAGAACCAATAATCGCTGATTGCTTACTGAACGCTTTTTCCGCTGAACGTGCTTATTAACACACAATTTAAATTTAT